TTTTATTTAAATATTTTAGCATTTTAAAAAAGTAAATCAGAGCTAAAAAAGTGCAAAAACGCAGGCAAATTTGTCTGTGTTGGTCTACATATTAAGGGATAGTATAAAGTTTATTTTTTTAGTTAATTAAAAATTAATAAATTATATTTTTTTAAAATTAACCAAATTTAAATAACCAAAATTTATAAACAACTTTTAATTAGTTAATTCTATTTTAATTTTTTTTAGCAAAACTTAATAGCTTGGCCAAGTTATAAAAGTTAAAAAATTATTTTTGTCTAATTTTATATTTAATTTTAATTTTTGAAAACTTATTACTATTTTTAAACTAAGAAAACTGGCACTTATTACGTAAATATAACTCTCTCAGAGTCAGTCATTTGACTCAATTACAAGTTCTAAAATTTTTGGGTTTAAAATTTATTATACAGTATATTTTTAAAATTTTATTATGTTTATATATATACTGTACATAATCTATAACAAAATTTTTATTTTACTAATACAAACTTTATACGTACGTAGATTTGTTGTATATTTTTATACGTAAAAAGTTTTTTTTTAGATAAAATTTTTGCTAATTTAAGACGTCCTGCACTGTAATTTTTACTTAAAACAAATACGTATTATATTTTTATAGTTCTACGTATATATACGTAATTTACAAAATATCAAGATTATCTTATTTGACTAATTGTTTTGGGGTTTGGATTTGGATTTGTTCGGGTTTTTGCTACGTAGCAAGTATAACGTATAACTAATTTTTTTTACAAATACAGCATGTTTTAATTTCTTAAACCAATAATTGGTGCATATCTTTTTTTTGAACTCTTAATCTTAAATTTAATATATATATAGTGACAATATACTGTATAATGTTAACGTTAAACATTATTGGTAAGACTTAGTATGCATAATTCTTAATATGTATAATAGATTTTTTTTTAGAATTTTAAATACATATACAGTAAATAAGACAATTTCCTAAAATCGAATCTAACGTCAATGATAGGACGTGGGTCAAATTGACCTAACCGATCAGGGTGTAGGTACATCCCGTGCAATGGATCCTGTAAACCAAATAGAGAGATCCATGCTCAAATGGAAGTAAAAATCCGTAATTTAAAATGAGTGCATTATTTGTTTCAGCCATAAGCTTAAAGAATATTGTGTTATATTCTAAATGCAAAATAAGTAAAATTATTCATGTGTCCAATAAAAGTGCATTTAGAAATTTTGGATGCTGAATGTTTAAATTTTCTTTTTTTTTTTTATTGAAAAAAAACTCAACGTACTTATCTGTTATGTACGTACGTACGTAAGTACTTGCGTACTGTGCATGGTCACGTCATTTCCAAAATACAATTTATGTGTTGGATTATTCATGAAGGAAGGGCGTTATTCATTTATGTTAATTTAAATAATGAAATAAAAACTTATTGTACGTACTTTGATATCTTAAAATTTATTATTACAGGTGCACAAGAAATTCAAATGAACATTTTTTGTATATATAAGCTTATATTGCATAAATATATAACGCACTTCAGCATTTGAGCTATTTTTTTTTTTATTGACCCAAAAAAAAATAAAAACATGTGATTAAACATTGATTGATTTTTAAACGGTCAAAGAATTGCTCTTTAAAGGTTTATTAGAGCCACTTATTTCTTTTTAATTTTCATTGGTTAAATAAAATATTTGTAATTTTGTAATGAATTAAACGATTCGATAAGTTTGGGAAAAGTGTGAAGTGTGAAACATGGAAACATGGATCGAATATTGATTACAACAAGAATTGCATGGTAGGACAATTGATCGTCTTCACTCTTTTACATCAACAAAACATATTCTTTGTATTGCTCATATAAATTATACCAATCTTGAATCGGTTTAGTATCATGCAATATTTCTTGTACGACTATTTGCTATGTAGTACCAAATTTCACGCATGTTCAAAAGACCGTGTTGAGTAGTTTGTTTCTCTTCACTTCTTGTTCCAAGAAGTTTTTTGAAATTTATTAAGGTCGTCATATAGTGTTCATAAAAAAGATAGATCTTGGATTTAATATATATTATACTAGACCAATAAAGCAATCCAACTATGCCGTCAGAACATTCCCGTTCTTCCTCGGGCTCATCGGCAACTTCGGTTCCTACAATTAATATTAAACGAGCTCCTACCCCTCCAAATAATAATAATAATAATAATCAAACCAATCCAACTAGTAATTCTAACAATGAACAACTTTTAGACGCCATTAATGCACGCTTAAGTAGTCAATCAAAAGAAAGAAATCGTGAAAAAAGCACTTCGAGAGCCAGAAGCTCCTCACGAGGAAAAAGTCCTGCAAGGAAATCTGACAAACGAGGTAAAAGTCCGTCTCCTGGGCGCAAAAGTCCCTCAGGCGAAAAGCTTTTGAGTACTTCAAAAAATTCGGGTTCTAATAGATCTAGAAGTCCAAGTCCTCGTCCAAAAAGTCCTGGTCGTAATAATTCGTCACGTTCAAAAAGTCCCCGCAGTAACCATAATAGAGCGGGAAGTGATAATTCAAATAATAAATCTAATTCTCAGGATGCTCGTGTAGGATTAGGCAGTAAAATTTTACATCCATGGGTTGCCCCTTCCCTCAATTTAAACGGTGAAAAGAACAATTCAAAAAGTGCGAATCGATTAAGTCTCCCAATTTTTCCTGATAACGCTAGTTTAAACGCCATGCGTGAAAGGAATGAAATATTGGCTTCAAAATTAAATCTCGTCCCATCTGAAAGCAAAGGAATGGGTAATTTTTCTAAACCTATTAACAGCCTTAGAGTCTCTGTCACGCGTCCAAAACTTCATGTTGAAACTTTCAGTCAATTACTTGGAAGCAAAGCCATGCAAAGAACTCAATCAAGTCAACGTGTTGGAAAAAATAATGATTCTCCATTAGTGATCGCTGGTCTTCCTTTAAACCGGTCTAGGAGTCAAAACGCTGCAATGGATGCCAATAACACTACTTTACCTGCTTCATTTTTGAAGGAATTAGAAAAAACACATCCTCTTCAACATTCTTGGTATGTATAAATTTATTTTATTTTTATGTTTTTTTTTTTTTTGTCATACTTTTACTAAAGTTTGGAATTTTTTTTTTATTTTAATAGGACGATGTACTATGATAGCAAGCCAGTTATGACTCCTGGCCCTAAAACACCAACAGGAATGTTATCATATGAAGAAAATTTGCAGACTATTGGTACTTTTGACACGGTAATTATGATACAAAATTCTATTTATTTAGTTATTTATTATTTATTTATTTATTAACTTCTTTATGTCTTTATTCTTTATATTGACTATTTGATCTTTCTTTTTTAAAGGTACAAACTTTTTGTCGATATTTTAACTGGGTAAAAAAACCCAGTCAACTGGAATTAAATACAAACTTCCATATATTTAAAGATAAAATTAAACCAATGTGGGAAGACCCTGCTAATGCTAATGTATGAATTTTATTATTATTTTTTTGGTATGAGTTTCAATAATTTATCAAACATTTGTTATTTTTTTAGGGTGGAAAATGGGTAATCTCTATGAGAAATCCCCCATTGCTTGATCGATGTTGGACTTGGCTTGTATGTGCTTTGGTTGGTGAAGAGTTAGATGAAAATGATGATATCTGCGGAGCAGGTACGTTTATTATTTTATTTAAATAGTTATTTGATTTATTTACGTTTTCCATGCATTTATTATATGATTACATCACTACTTTATCTAGTAATGTCTCGCAGGATTAGAGGGGATCGTATTGCCGTATGGGTTCGGGATAAAGATAATGTTGGTGTAATTAACGGAATTGGGTATGTTATATATTACTTGATTATTGCATAGTTCTTTTTTTTTTTTTTTAAAAAAAAAAAAAAGAAAATATCCATAATAATTATTTTTTATCAATCGTTAGTCGACGTCTATTAAAAATTCTTGATTTACAAAATGAAAAGGGAATCGGGATGGATTTCCAGGTATTTTTTTTTCTCTCAACTTTTCATTTATATGTCATATAATTTTATTTTTTTCGAAATCATGAATTTTTTTTTTTCAAGTATATTAATCTTTCCTCTAAATATTTGCAGTTCAATGAAGATGCATTGAAATCTGGTACATCGTATAATAATCGTGTATACTTATCTCTTGAAAGTCTTAAACAAGAATTAGAAAATGAAGAGAAGGCTAGATTAGAAGAACTTGCTAAATCTGCAAAAAGACAAAGCATAACTTTTGATGACTCCAAAACTGATACTACTGTAACAACTCCAGATATTGTCACTATAGATGTGGACGCTGAAATAGACGCTGCTAATGCTAAAACTGAATTGTCTGATAAAAATAATAAAGAAAATGGGGATGATCGGGTTGATAATAACGATGAAAATGAAAAGGGGGAAGATACCAATAATAAAGAAAACGGTGATTGTCAAAATGATTAAAGTTAATTTCATTCTAGTTATCATTTTTATCATCTTTTAATGTATAGACTAGCTTCACACGTATCGCTACGTGCCGCATTTAATCTAAATCATTCAACATAATACATTCAATTAACAAATGATATACAGGAAGAGAATCAGAAATAATGCACAAACGTCATAATTAGCATTTACACATTTAAATTTGTCTAAATAATTGTCGCAGATCATAATGAAATCGGATTAAAATGAAACTGGGGACCTTTCTTGCTCATCTTTAAAGCTTATACTTATACTCTTTTATTAATAAACTAACTCTGAACCCTAACCCTAACCCTTTAAATTTTCCTAAAAAAATAGAAAAATCCGATTTCATTTTAATCTGCCACAATAAATGAATAATAATATTTTGTTGTGTTGATTTTGTTCCTTCCTGTATCTATTAATCAATAAATCATTTATTTGACATTTTTTTTATCATTTCTTATAGATGACGCTCATTATTAGTATATTGATTGAGCTTAATCACATTATAATGTTTATTCAGTTGTTATTACATTTTGATTTTTGTATATAGAACTTTTTAGTAAATTATTTTTTTTATTTTTAGTTCTATATAGAAATAATATTTAAGGATAAATATTGTAAATTATTTTTATATATAAATTGAATGATGAATAAAATATATTAATATTTTATTTTAGAATTTTTTTATTAATACAAAATATAGTATTTATACATGTAATTTTATTAATAAAATTATAAAAACATATACTGTATTTAATAATATAATATAATTTATAATTTGTTAATATAGTACAGTATATATAATAAGTTAAAGTAATATAATATTTTTATTTATGATTTTTTTAGCAAGAGAGTAAATGCTAAAATATTATATATACTATATAATAGATTATATACAGTATAAGGTATATTGTATAATTATAATTATTTTATTTACAAAAAAATTAGCTAATACTGTAAATAACACTTTTTTAAGCTTTAATTTAGAATATTTTTTTAAAAAAGTTAAAATAAATATAAAATATTATTAAAATTTATATTAAATATATATACATTATATAGTTTAAATTAAAAAAAATGAATATTATTAAAAGCATTCGTTATAAAAAAAAAAATTTCTAAAATTTAATTACTATAGCTAAAATTTTTATTTTTAAATACAATGTACAGTATATTTTATAAAATTATACTTTATCTTTATTAGTAATTTATATAAAAATATAATATAAAGTAATTCTAACTTGTAAAAGTTAAATATAGTATAAAAAAAAATACTTAATAAAGAAATAGTAAAAAATTTTATATTTTAAAATTATTATATATATACAGTATACTATATTATACTCTATATATTTTTTTAAGACGATTGCTATTTATACACCAGGTGTATGTACACCATATATATTGATATTTCTAACAAAAAATATTCCTTGCAAAATTTTAGTATAAACTATAACCTCATCTAACCCTAAAGCTACCCTTACCCTAACTTTAAGCTATATTAATTTTTCGTTTACAATTTATATGTTAAGCAAATTTGTAAATCAATAAATTAGTATGTGTGTATATACACCAGGTGTAAATTAAGAAATTTTCTTTTTTTAAATATATCTTTTATATCGAAATAATTTTTATTATAAAGCATAAAAATTTATTAACATGAAATAAGTATTTAAATTTTAAAATACAGTATTAATAATTTATTAATTTATAAAGTATTAATATTTTTTATATTATGTTAATTTAAATACAATCTAGTAAATATTACTAAATTAAAGATTTAATTACATACTGTATGATTATAGGGTAAAGATTAAGGCTATTAATCAGTTCTGGCAGTCTTTTAAAAAGTTAGACCGGACCACGATCCAGGGCCGATCAGTATGGGACTGGATGAACTAAATTATTGGACTAATTAAATGCCACGTAAATTGTACCAACATATTAATTATTATGTATTATTACACGTTATTATTATAGACTCCATTCAAATTATTGTCGTTGTCTAAGTCTCTAAAAATTAACCTTTATACTGTCTGTATATTATAATAGTGTTCATAGTCTAAACACAAAAAAAATCAGGCTATATATGTTCGTTACAATAATTTAATGCTAACTATATTAGGACCTTTTTGCCCGTCCTAAGAGACCAGACTAGTCCGGTCCTAAAACGGACCGCAAGACTGGCGGTTTTTATCGAGATTAACGGCCCAAGTAGAGATATACGTACCTCGCGGAAGATGATGATATCATCTTCGTGCAAACCTCGTGCGAATTAAATTTTTAAGTAGATGATTCACCTCGCACTTCGCGTGAAATCATATGATTTGGAATATATACTAGTTTTATCTCGCGCGAGGTACACTTCTACATACTGTAGGTGTTCCAAGAGTAAAATACATAAAGTTTACCAATAAATAAAAAATATATTATGAATCTGAGTAACTTTATCATAATTATTAGTGTTTCGATCCGTAATCCGACAATTCGAATTGATCCGATAATTCGGATTAAATACGGATATCCTAATCTGTTTATTTTAACGGATAGATCCGCAATAAATATCAGATTAAGGATAAGGATTATACGGATCCTTATCCTAGATACATCAGAAAATTTTTTAGCTGTCCCAGAATTTATGAAAACAACTGTAATTCACCGACAGTTTATGGTTATTGTCAGGTTAGAATTAGAGTTAAGGTTTGTGTAATTTATAAAAAAAACTTGTCAGCGAAATGAGCTGTTGGTGAAATAAACTGTCGGTGAAGTGAACTTGTCGGTGAATTACAGTAGCATTCGAATTTTACAGTAATTCAGAATATATATACGTATTAGATATTTAATCACTACGTCTATTGAATCCGAATTGAATCCGAATTTGTTAATCCGAATTGAAATTCGAATAAACCGGATATGTTGAATAGGATCCGAATTTAATCCGAATGGCCTTTTGAAAATAGGATCGAAACACTAATAATTATATTAATAAATAAATGAAAGAAACTACATAAAATCAAAATTTTTATTAAATTCTCCCTAGTACGTTGCGAAATTAAGATAGTACATTTGAAAAGAACTTTCATTTAAAAAAAAGCATGTTAAATAACCTACCTAACACATTAGAAACTATTATCGCTCCAAGGTTAAGTTCGTTATAATGAAAAACATTCGCTTAGAGGTTTTTTGAAGACATTCATATACTGTACTGTATTTAATCTACATATATATTTATAGTACTATTCTTAATTATACATTCGTAAATAAAAAATAAAATCAGTAGGCAATATGGTAATACGACACAATAGCAATTACGGTTTACTGCTTTTTTTATGACATTCAAAATATTTGAGTGCGTAACTGATTATGCCATGTACCATAATGCTGTAATAATAGTAATTAATTATGACGACAGTTATATCCCAGGCAATTCCAAACGATAATATCTTCTTAGGCAATAGTACTCCAGACAATATATTCAAAGGATATTATTTTTGTGGTAAAAACCAATTCTGACAACTTATTCAAAAGATTATTTTAAGATACAAAACTCATTGTATTAGATGTTGGCTAATATCACAACTTCTTTAGACTTATATTTTAGCACTGTTATTTGTGTTTAGCAATACGATTGTTTGCAAGAACGAGATTATGATGAATATAAACAAATCATCACGATTGCTTACTGCGGTAAAATAGACATGACAAATTTGTTATGAATTACACACATTTATTCAATTTATTCATTTATTCATCTTATTCAAACACAATTTAACATGACAAATCTTATTAATTATAATTAACTTAAATTAATTTATTCAAATTAAATAATTTAATGTGCTATTTATTCGAGTTAAATAATTTATGTCGCATTTATTCAAGTATGACGTACCATTTAGAATGTGTAAACTTATGTGACATTTGTTTATTAAATGTGGGCTGTTTTAACTAATTTAACCATACCGCCTTATTTTATTCAATTACGCACCCGGAAAATGTGTACCAGGTTGTGACGTAGATCACTAATAAAATTCAGTGTAACGTTACACGATCAGGAAGA